CTCCATTCGGTTAGTGTTCTGTTTTCGTCCCAAATCTTTTGCAGTATGGTCCCACACTGTTCGCCAGGGCCTCGCCACCTTAGTTGATGAGCGTGTGGTGCAGACCATCCGGACTTGATGTCTTGCCGCATTTCGATATTGATATCCCACACTGGATTCCGGCTGCTGATGGCGAGTTGGTGTCAATGTTCCATTCAGGTTCTTCCGGCGGTTGTGTTGAAAGAGACCAATGGAACCGCTCCTTGAGGTGCTCAGCCCACCACTCAAGACGATTGAGGGATTAAATTGCCATTGGGTCTTTTTCGCGTATTGTTTCGCTGACACCTGCCTTCTTTTGACCGGCTGGGTGAAACGGGGCGCGGCCATTGCCTCCTCCGTCTCCTGGGCCTTCTGAATCCAGCAGCGCTCTCTATCATTCTTCAAGCCTCTGATTATCCGGTGTTTAAGGGATCTGCATGCACCATCATATCCGCTCGTGGCCGGTATGGCCTTTCTGGCAGTAATAAGACATACTGATCTCTACGATATCTAGTGTTCATTTCGTCGAGTCAGATGATCTGGACAAACAACTGAAAGTCGAGAGCATTGCTTCTTTAACTCTTCTCCATTCAAACTCCTAGCAATCTTCGTCCTCCGCATGGCTGTGCGTTTTTAGTAGCTTTCTAACCAGATCAGCTCGATACTCCTCAGCTGTTGAAACCAGTCAAGGTTGGTGAACGGAGCTGTTCTGCTTTGGCAAGCGGCAGAAAGCGAAGTGCTAACGGGACCTGCACGACCGCGCTGTCAGAGTCAAGTTGCGTACCCTAGAAGGAACGACAACCCTTAACTGAGGCTCTCCATCGGTAACCGACTCCAAATCTACCACCTAACTGCGCTTCTTCCGGATGGACGAAGTGGTTAGAGTGCGAATTCACTGACCGGATGGTCCGTGGTTCGAACCCGACCTCCGACTCTCGACTTCCCCTGTCTAGGCTTGGGCGACCTGGCAGTATTCCAGCCCTCGTGTCTCTTTCATGTGGCATGGCATTTAGGCACCGAAGGGGCGCTACAGCTGAACGATTTCTTCCGGACTTAGTAGTCCGACTTGGATACTCACCTGCTGAGCGAAGCAGTTGTGACAGATATGGATAAAACTCGTCCTTCCCAGTCTCAGAACTCCATTCTGTTGGGACCTATGCCGACATGACAAACAAGGAGCCTTCGCCGCACCGAATTTAATTGTTTTATTTAACCAGTAAATTGCGCCGCGCAAAGACGGTTTACTGGGATCCAGTCCAGTAGGGCGCTTTCAGCCTTCGAACCGAGTGCAACCGCCATACCGTTGATGCCACGAACCACTACGTCAGGTTCACCACTTACCCGAAGAGTGAAATGCGGAACACCTGAGCTCATCCTAAGCGCCCTGTAGTGGGGTCTTGTGCTTCGGAGACATAACATGCATCGACAGAAGGAAAGCAAGATTACAACATGAAATACCTGTTTACCAATTTGACACAGAGCACAGACGGTGAAGGCTGCATAGCGGATCAGAACAGTGGAGTTTAACGATGGATTATTTTTTCATTTTGATGGGAGACAGCTCACATGCTGAACAATGGTTAACAGATGAGTGGATCGCAACGGAACATTTAACTGTTTGAGCGGGGTATTCTCAAGGGCTGGTGAACGAAAAGCTGCAAGACGAGTGATACTTCCCTGTTGCCAAGGCCGGAGAATGGGGTTCGGTTGAGGTACTGCTCTTTGAGTCTTTGACTCAAACCCGTGACCCATAAGGCACCGAGTATATGTTGTTTTGTTGGGGGACCCTTATCCTGAACTCTGACTTAGAAGACTGAACTGCGAGGCAACATTTTTTGAGGCTTTCCTGAGGGACAATTTACGAAGCCAATGACTCAATAAAC